AATCAAGAAAGAACTTGTATCGCTGAAGATCCTCAGAAAGAATTTCTACAGGAAACAAACAAACAAGCAGATACGTAACAATATAAATATAGAAATGACTATCATTTCACATCAAGTATGCATGTAGATATTTTGTATTCTCTAACTACTCACTTGTCCTTTATTTATAAATCCATGTTCTTCTGCTACAGTATCAGCTACATCAACTCCGCCTGGTATCAGAACAGCAAAATGGTTTGTGTAAATTGTTTTTTCACTCTGATGATCACCATTACAAGACTGCACAGTCATCAAGGAGCACAATAACAAAAATAAAACTGTATGGATTGAAAGACTTTTCAAATAAATCTTCATGTTTTGCTTCATATTAGACAATTTTACAAACTCATATTTTTGGAAATGTTTTTCAGTCCACAATGGACACACTTCAAAATAATACATCATTTGATAAAGTAGATCTGAAAGAGAATAATAACAAAATAAATAATGTATGCTTATTGCTATCATAAAAGCTAAAGAATACTGTATTAATCTAATATCTAAAATTCACTGTTAAAAAAAATAACAGTTTAACATCTCACTAGAAATCTAATTCCAAATACATTTATAGTTATATTGTTTACTCTTGTGATAATTGATGCCATTTTTTTAAGAAAATGTATTCAAGAAATTACATTTCAAAAATTCCATTAGTAACGAGTATAATTTAATGTTAACTCGATCCTAAAGTGAAAGATTTACATTTCTGTATGTCAAACACCACTAAGATGAATTACTTGCATTCTTTTAGATAATTTTCATGTCATTTTGAATTCCACTTCATTTTTATGCACTCTCCTGTATGCTCTGTATAATATAACATATACAGACAAACAAGGGGCCACCTGGTCCTTCAGGGTTGTCCCTGAACACCCACCCTTGAGAAAAGTAAAAATTTAAACCCACCCTATATTTTCAAAAAATCATCTATTCCCCTTTTAACATTTGAATTAAAAGCAAGTTATTTATCAATTAATTTTTTATACTTCCCAGCTGTTCAACATCACCTTTCAATTCATTAGCTCAAATAATTTGTCTCAAGACCCCAAAATTGTATTCCTGAAAACTACAAACTAAAATTACAGTTATATTTTCTCAACATAGAGTCAAACCTAATTATGCAATATTCACACTTCACCAAATGTTCCCCAACTAATTTTTTGCATCAGTGGTTAATAAATTATTAATTTCATCTCCTCATCAGTATAGAAAACTAGCCTAAATCATTTCAAGAAACCTCTTTCCCTTACTATCTATCTTCAATCAATATGTTAAAAGTCATTTATATAAATAATAAAACAATGGTTCCAAAAAACAACCTCTTCAGTCATCACATTATCCCAATGGTAAAATGTCATTTATCATTTAATCTTTGATTTCTAACACAAAACAAATATCTTAATGAACTCCAAATCTTCACAGCAATTTCATAAGAAACCAACTTACTAATTAACTTCGTGTGCACAACTCCATCAAAGGCTTTCTAAGGATAAGAATACACAATATCAACTGAACTGCTCTCATCCAAATAAAAATTAAAATTATAACATAAAAAAAATATATTATTCTTACAAAATAAAATAGCTTTATATACTAATCTATGGCTTTGACTTGTGTTTAATTAAACTCTTCTATCTTATGTATAACATACCTGCAGTATATATACATTATAAATTTCATATGCCTTGCTATCAGACTTTAATATCCATTTGAAACATTAGTGTATTATCAACATTACAAACATAGCATGATTTGAGATTTAAGAATAAATATTTTTTGAATGCTTCTAAGCATAGACTGTTGTTAAAATTTTAGAACTTTAGTGTTAGTAAAAGCTTAAACTTAGTTATATTACCAATGACAGAAATACCAAAAATATTTAACCACATACCTATATTTTACTATTCTATTAAACCCGGAAATGTAAGAAATTTACAATTCATTTATAATCAATTATAAAACCAAGAGATAACTTAATATTTTTATTCAGTTCTATTGATACGAGTATGTATGTATAACTTTTGCATTTCATTTTCACTTTTAGCACTCTACTTAGTGCTTTTCTAGTTTTATCACATTCTATTGTAATTCATATATCAAAAAACAAAAACCTGATCCATTTTACTAAGTGACTTTTTCTTAAAATAACAGTATTTAAACTAGTGTACTGTATAGCCTATAATTATAAAGTATAAACCTAGAATTTGATACTGATTACTATGCTAATACTTTACTAATTTTGTTACAATAAATTCATATAATTTTATAATTATTAATGTACGTTATTACTATTAGTATTAGAGTTTCTAAGTTCTAATTCATATTATTTTAATACACTTTAAACAGAAACATTTGAGTTAGGGAAGTTCAAACTTAGGCCTAACTAAATTAATAATGCCAATTTTAAATTAATATTTTTTAATTGCTTAATTTAAAATTGAATTGTGCCTTGGCAAAGGCTGGCATAAACTAATATTAATAAAGCCTAATTGGATTTGGACTTGGAGTACCAATCAACTATTCGACTTTCCCCTTTTTTAAAATGTTTAATAACATCTAAATAGTAAAACAAGGTATAACTTTCTATTCTCTATATATATATACTGACCCAGTAATTAAACCTCGACTTCGACGAACGTATTATGTGCCTCAAGAAAGTGTGTGACACAAACACTGTACTAAAATATTCGGTAGTTCTTATCAATTCGTAACTACTGAAGTAGTCTTAATATTGTGCTTAACTTAAGGTAACCTAGGTAGAAACTCATACATCATCCACGAGTACAAGGTAAGTGGCAAAGTTCACATATTTATCAAAACTGAGAATGCTAGATTAAAATCCTCCATTGTTGCGAATGTGACTTGTCCTAAAGAAAAAATACAATAGTCAAAACAGATATTCACAGAATAAAATGTCAAGTCCACATATACAATATTACAGCTTGCACTCATCAATCTTATGATCGCTAGACTGTGCATTCTCTCCTCCATACGAATAGTGCAAACATT